TTGATATAAATTTGGACGTGTTTATCAGAAAAAGTGCTACAAAAAGTTGTCAATTTATAACAAGATTCAGTTTACTTATAACATATTTTAGTTAGAAATTGTAAGGAAATTGTGTTGTCCCCAAGTTGTGAAAGTTGTTGATTTTCGTTATTAAGCTTTATCCAGATGTTAAATATTAAAAGTGGTTAAAAAATATTTTGCATATATATTGGTCCATTTAATTTGAGACAAGCGAATGTATCGAAATGATGGTTCCCCATATGACGACAACATTTTTGGTCTTGACCTTATTTTGAAGGTAATATAAAAGTCACGACCAATTTTTTAAATAGCACCCTATATTTTTGATTGCAACATATGAATTCTTGGAAGACTAAAAAAAATCCAGAAATGGTACAGCGGCTAACCTAGGTCGTCGGAAATACCTTTAGAAAGAGGCCTAACCAAATAATGACGCCTTACCAACGTTACTAGAATGTTCATTTATTTCTTCTGCTGCTGTATAAATATTGTGGCACAGTTCGGCAAGATTTTCAATCGGTTTTTAATACACTGTTTCTTTTATGCAATCCTAATAAAAAAATCAAGAGGATTTACGCCCAGAGAATGAGGCCACGTAATCGAACCAAGACGTCCAATTCATCTTTCTGGCTATTCTGTATGGAATACCGTACAGGACAAGCATAATTAGCTGGGCAACCATCTTGTTGAAACCACATTTCTCTGTAGATATTGAGTGGCACATCTTCTAACAAACTTGTTAAATTATCCATCCTGTATATACATATTAACTTTTTTTGTACTAAATTCTGTATATTATATCTTTTCTGGAGGGGGCGCCAACACAATGTCGTACCCCGGGCGCCAGTTATGTTCGCTACGCCACTGCATACAGTTCTACCATTACATTTCTGAATGTGTTTGTTGAAACCATTCAATTTTTATAAGGATGGTTTCAAACAGTTTATAATGGCAAGTTTTCATAAAACCATTTATTAACGGAAATATATGTATACTGTTTTATTAGAATCTGTCCATTATTATTATTATTATTATCTATGCTCCATGGTTTAAATATAATATCAGAAATATAACTTTGGGGATTATTCAAATCCACAACATGCCACAAGGACTCGCCGACTGATTTTTTTTATTGTACAACTTTATTGTAAATTTATACAAAGTTATACACTTTAATTGCAATGTAATAATATGAAAAGAGAGGTATAAAAAAATTGATTTTATTCTCAAAAAAACAAAATTATTTTCGTATTCTTAAAGAAAACGACTTTTATTGAAATATTTTTCAATTGGAAAAGAAGGAATAGAGAATTGGTTTCAACTTGGAACATATATTCGTAGACGATTTGCAATTACAGTAATCTTAAATCTAGAATTGAACCGAGGGAGGCTTCTATTTATGCGTTCTTTTATTGGTATTTCCGTGGAGACCGGGAAATGGCTGTTTCTTTTCTAATCTCATGTGCCGAGTACATTCTAGTCGACAATACAGATGAGATGGCCAGTAATACAATGAAACTTCCCGGGGAAAATGGGGAAAGAACGAAGAATTGAAATTGTCGTGGTAGAATAATACTTTAATCCTTAAAAAATTATTATAGAATCCATGTTGCAAGTTTGTTAAAAATATATAAAGGACATTATTTTATATAAAACTTCTTACTTGCTCATAAATCATCATCAGCCAAAATTTATGTAAGTGGAAACAAAAAATCATCACATCGATCAAAGTAAACTTCGATTTACTTCAAAAATAAAAGTCGAAACAGGTACCAATAAACATTAAAATACAAGTAAGTAAGAAGTTTTATATAAAATAATTTCCTTCATATATACTTAAAAAATTAATTCAACATTAACAATTTGTAGCACACCACAACAAAATATAACACGCACTCGTTTTATTCTTGATGTATTTAAATAATTCATAACATTTCCTATTGGTTCTTCTTTCCAGAAGTCATCATACATAATGTAAATAAAATAAATAAATATCACAGTCGGATTTATTCGCGGACGCTGCACAAAGTCTCCACTGCATTGTTTATGACGGTTTGTCTCTTCATAGTGCAACCAACCTTGTCGCAGCCCACCACCGCTACATGGATGACCTACTTTTTAAATTGCCTCCATTGTGACTTCGTATCGGAAATTTTCAGTATTTATTCAAGAGGGAATACATAATGTGTGTGTGTATTGTCGTCGGGCAAGTATCGTAAATTGATTGGTTTCGGTAGATAGCACTTGTAATACACAAATAAAATAAAAAATCTGAAGCAGTCTTCACTCAACTTTATCACATTTTCATATGGTAAAACATCGATCCAATGAAATTCTTTTTGATAAAACAAATTGCTGTAGTTGCGATGTAATTCCCTATTTGTCACTGCCGAACCCATTTGTTAACCAGACACAACTTTTTCTAATACGTTGAAAAGTAATTACATCAGATGGATCAGATGGCTTTGTTATAAATTATAGTTGAAATTAAACATTTTGAAGGAAATATTTCGAGTATGCAGACTGATTAGAAACGGCTATAAAAAGAATGTTCAACTAAAGAATATTATCCTTCATATTCTTTAAGTGGCGCCCGATAAAATTATTGAAAGCTCGATATTTCACCTGTTGCCCTCGAGCAAGAACGCACGTTTTAAAGGTTCAATGGAACCTTTCTACGAATCCATTCCTCTGTGCATGATAAGTGCACGTAGAAATTTATTCCATCTCAGCAATTTGCTGACAAAAAATTTGGAATTCGAATTGCCCTGGTTAAGAGAACTTTGAAGGAAAATAAGGAATAACAAGAGGAAAGAGAAAGCAAGAGGTTAGGGATACAGGGATCATAAAGGATTAAAATACGAGAGTAAATAGGTGAAAGATGAGAACAATCTAATATTGACAGATAACCAGAAAATAATGGAAAGATCACTTCATGGAATGGCTTATGTAATTGGACAAGAAGATAAGAAATATGAACAGAATAGATGAATGTAGAAGTGAATGGAATATAATCGGTAATAAACAAATTAAGAAAATGGAAAAGTTCTCTGTGAAAATAGATTAAACCACAGAACGTACTTATAGTTACTAAATTGAATTTTCATTGTAAACTACTAAGACGCAACCTTAATTTCTTAACAGACTGACGATCGAACCAGTTTGTGAAGTAAAAATTTAAACCCGTTAAGGGAATATGAGCTCTAAGTGCGATAAAAAAGAGTAAACAATTAATAAGAAATTTCCAATATCTATTTTTTCGTTAACTAAACATTTACAATGCGAAGCATATTTACATCAAAAATATTTACACTGTTATTGAAAAATTAACCTAAATTAAAGAACGCTGCTTGAACTTGTTTGAACATACACTTCTCTGAACGGTATAGTATTAGCACGCGAGGAGAGCGATGTTTCAACTTGTGACCTTGCTTTCGAACATGCATAGACTTGTTTATTACCTTTAATTATAATAGAGTGGTTTCATTACACAATAGTTCATAAAATTGACTTCCATGCAATTGCTTCATTTTTAAAGATAAGTACATCGATAATTAAACTGTTGTAGTTTGTTATATACCAGCTTGTCATAAATCACTTAATTTTTATTTAATAAATAATTATATTTATTCAAAATCTAAAATTATAAATTAGTCTATTATATTAGACTACTTATGATTTGCGATGAAATATTTCCTATAAAATATATTATATTTATAATAAGAGTTGACGTTTTACGTTCAGGGTATACGAAAAATATTTTGTGTAGCTCATAATTGCTTTTCTTTCTTTCTCTCAGGAGACCTACTCCTAGAGGTCGCGTACGTCGAGTGGCGGCTGGGATTAGCCTGGAGACAGGATTGCTGTCTCCAAGATATATATATATATATATATATATATATATACAGGCTGGTCCATTTAACGTGAGACAAGCGATAATCTCGAAAACGATTCATTTTACATAAAAATGAAAGTTGTTCCGTGCGAAGGGGGAAAATTATCAAGGTTATATGAAGGTCACGACCAATTTTTTAAATGGCACCCTATATATTTTATTGTAAGGTCAAGGTCAAAAAATGTTATCGTCATATGGTTTCCCCCTTTGCAAAGAACAACTTTCATTTGGTGCATTTTTATGTTGAATGCACCGTTTTCGAGATAATCGCTTGTCTCACGTTGAATGGACCATCCTGTATATATATATATACAAGTAAAACTAAATTTGCATAAAAACTGTTTGGCAACAAATTCTGAATTTATTCCATCGTTTTACATTAAGGCAAAGTGTTTAAACTAAGTCATTAAATTATGGATACTTTAAGTGTGGCAGAAAAAGTCGAAATGATTTTTATTTATGGAGAAAGTGGCAGAAAAGTTGCTGATAGTATAGCTTTGTATCGAGAACGTTTTCCTGATCGAAATACGCCTTCGAGAAGTACCTTTTACAGAGTTGTGAATGATTTCACTACCACTGGAAATGTGGAATCAAGAAAAAGAACTCGGCGAGCAAATGTAACTACGGAAGAAACGGAACTTTGCGGTATTAGCTAGCGTTGAGGTAAATCCTCAAGTTAGCACTCGACGACTTGCAATTGACGCCGAAATATCGAAGACCAGCATTTTAAGAATATTAAAGCGCAACAAGTATTGCCCATACCACATTTCATTGCATCAACAGCTTTATGGAGGTGATTTTGGAAATCGATTATTTTGTCAATGGGCACAAGAACGAATGCGGTTGGACGTCAATTTCTTTGGTAACGTGCTATTCTCGGATGAGTCTACTTTTACAAACAAAGGACAACATGCACTATTGGAGCGTTGAAAATCCGAGATGGTTGCGTGAAGTAGAACATCAACGACCTTGGTCAGTTACTGTTTGGTGTGGCATAATTCGTGATAAACTGCTCGGTCCATACTTTATTGATGGTATGCTGAATGGGGAGAAGTATCGAAATTTTTTAGATGACGTCTTACCAACGTTACTTGTAGATTTGAGCAGGGAAGAAAGACAAAATATGCGGCTACAAAATGATGGGTGTCCAGCACATTTTTCACATATTGCACGTGAAGCTTTAGATCGGGATTATGCTGGGGAATGGATTGGAAGAGTAGGTCCAATTTCCTGGCCTGCCAGATTACCTGATTTAACACCTTTTGATTTTTTTTGTGGAGCGTCCTAAAGCTACGGTCTGCCTTACGCGATTAGCCGATGCGTTTAAACGCTGCGGCTAAACGTGCTAGTTCACCATGTGTTTTTCAATGTATGAGGTCTATCTCGAGCGACAAGTCGTAACGCGTTTAGAAATCGTATCGCTCGTGGAGCAAAGTAGTCGTGCGCGTTTGTTTATGTCACTTCTATTTAGCTATTTAGCGAAAAAATGTCTTGCAAACGAGGAAACAGACTACGCTTTACCAAAGAAGAAGACGAGAAATTGATACGAGAAGTAGGAAATCACCCTGTACTTTACGATTTACAAAATAAGTCATATAAAAACTTTAATATAAAAGAAAACACGTGGCAAGAAATTAGCAAATTGGTGGTCAAAAGTGGTAAGTTAGGTATGGCGCTAAGTGGCAAGTAAATGATCTTGTTACATTTTTTAAGTTGAGGAGTGTAAAACACGATGGAAAAGTTTAAAAGATGTTTATTTCAAGAAAGAAAGACAAGGGAAACAAGGAACAGGATCTGAAGCAAGACGGATAAATAATAACTGGGAGCATATGGAATCACTAGCATTTCTAGAAGTTGCTGGGAAGCGTAGATCGTAAGTAAAATATATACATCTTATAATTTATAAAATAATATATTTATATCTTTCATTATGTATTTATATTTCAAATTAGTTTTCAGATATAAGATAAAGGAAACAACAGTATTGAAAATGAAGCATTTTTTCAGGACAATAACCAACGTCTCTGAAACTGAGGATATAAATTCCGACCATATTGACAGTATCAATGTCAGATCAATAAGGAACGCCTCTGAAACTACCATGACGGTAAATGTTTCAGAGAGTCAAGTTGATGAGAGTGTCAATGTCAACGACAGCACAAATGAAACTAAGCTTGAAGACGACATATCACCAGTTAAGAAAAGAAGAACAATGAATGAGAAAGTGCTCGCTGCACGTACTGAAGTTTTGAATAGCATTAAAGAAGCCGTACAAAGTTGTGGAAACCCAGTAAAAACGTTTTTCGATAGTATTGCACAAACAGTAATAACATTTCCTCCTACTCTTATAGTGGACGCAAAAAGGAAGGTGTTGGATGTCATTAGCGATTTAGAATTACAAAATTGCGGCGTTCGACCAATGTCAATTTATAATAGAATATCCAATAGTTGCGCGGATTCAATGACGAATTTCGAAAACTTTTTGCAATAATAAAAACAGTTTTTATTTTTATTAAATAATTTATTATGTTGTAATAAGTTATAAAGAATAAAGTATACGTTTCATTTATCTATTCTAGTTACGTGTTTTAACTGCTAAGATACACTTCCTTCCCTGCTGTTAAAGAAGTTTTTAAATTCAGTTCTGTGCTGATGAATTACCGCCAATATGATGCAAATTTATCATATTTTCTCTAGGCAAGTTTGTTCCCAAACTCCCCTCTGATATTCTCGTTGGACATTCAGCTCTCATTAAATTATGAAGGCAACATGTAGCCATTATAATTAAATCTACAACCGTAGGTTCAATTGCAATAGGTGAATAAAAGATTCTAAATGTTTGACAAAGCAGGTCAAATGCATTCTCGGTGGTTCGACGTGCTCTACATAATCGGTAATTAAAAATTTGTTTTTGTACATCGGTGGTCGCTTGATTCTTAGGATATGAACGTAAAACATGTCGCGAGAGCCAGAATGCTTCGTCTCCAATGATTACATGAGGAAGAGGTATTTTCATTCCAGGTAAAGACTGGTCAGGCGGCATGGTGTCCTCATTGTTGATCATTTGATAAATAGCAAACCTTTCAACTATTCTGCTGTCGCCTTCCTTTCCGTATGATCCAATATCAATTAAAATCAATTTCATATGACCTTGAAAATAAGATCAAGGTCAAAAAATGTTATCGTTATATGGCTTCCCCCTTCGCACAGAACAACTTTCATATATTCTGTTTGTATACTCATAATAAACAGCCATAAACCAAAGGCCAGTTCTCAAAATAGCGGGGCTTCTATCGTTGGGCCAATCATTTACACAGAGTATCAGCGATTCAGAGTTTTTACGGGAGTGCTACGTTCAATGTGGGAGGCACATTGAACGTGGAATATTACGATACTAACTGGAAAAGAAGAGAATGTTGTTGAGGAGATGGAAAGATATAGAATTGGAATAGTGGATATCAACGGGATCAAAAAGAAGTGGCAAGTTCTTCCACTATCATAAAACATTACACAATACTTTTTTTTGCGCAGAGGAGGGGAAAATGCTGTTACGCACCCCGGCCTACTGTTGGCGCCTAACGGTGTTAGTAAGGTATGTTTCGGCAGGAAGTCTGGGACTCACAGTGTCTACCCAGTAAAATCCCCCCTCTCCTCACCGGTACCGCCCTTCAGGATATTTCTTCGGAGGAATCATCGTCTCTTCTAAGACAGGGATCGTTTAGGTCTTCGTCTTAGTCATTCAGCTCCACAGGGTGGCTCCTCCATCGTCGTCTTACTGCTGGTCTCTCCTCGCGCTGTCGTTTCGGTACCATACCATCTCAATCCAGGTAAGTATTGTAAGCATATATCAAAATTCCACTTACTTTTTGATTCAGACATTAACATGAAAACTTACGTCGATAGGAGGAGGATTTTCATCCTTACGGGTTCCCCCTCCGCCACCTTCTTCTATCCCAGCCGTTGCTGCACTAGATGGCCTCATCGGTCTCAGGTAAGTATAGGCAATACACTTTTTGAAAGAGCTCTTAATTTCAGACTTACGTGGGTGGGGAGGTGTCCTTGCACCTACAGGGTGACCCCTCCACCTACTTCTTCCTGGTGACCTTTCCCAGGGCTGAAGTCACGGCGTATTGCCATCTCGGTCCAGGTAAACATTGCAAAAACACACAAGAATTTCTGTTTTACATTTTGTTTCAGACTTTCAAAGATAACGATGTCAGTACCTGAACAAATTGTCAAATTATAGTAAAACTGACTATTCACTCTGCAGAACTAGTAAAAGGCTAAGAATCCACCAATTAAAGTCGGAGATGGTACATGGGCAAAAACTAATACACGAAAAAACAACAGATATGCAAAAAATAGTAAGAGAAATTAAAGAAAACATTAATTTGAAAGAAGTTCTAGGGTTTGAAATAATTACGGGGGAAATTTCAAAAAACCTTCTAAATAATATAATAACTCAAACTCACTTATCTTATTGATGCATCTTTTAGATTAAAAAAGGATTGTAAAATCACATGTATGCAGGATTGTTGAACTCAGTTGACTTCTGTTTTATTTTTTTATCTATTTCTGTTTTCTGTGTTTTTAATGATAGTCGTACTTTAACGATGAAAAAGTTTATTTATATTTTTAATGCCAGCGTGTTAATGCTATCCTCAGGAAACCACCTGTTTAAATTACATTCATAAAACTAAATTAAATTATCTATTACACTTAAATTAAAAAAAAAAATCTGTTTTATTTGTTTCATGACAACACGGCACCACTTATCGATCTGCCTTTCCTAAAGCATTGTTGTTTTTCAGCATTTGTTATAATATTTTTTGGCTTATTTTTAAGTATGTTTGTAAATAGCTTCATAGAAGTGTAAGTGTTATGTGCGATAGTTTTCAGGGTTAGTTTTTGCTCCTTTTTTGAATATGGGAATTGGTATGCTTTAGAGCCATTCCTTTGGTACTTCAGAGTCTTGCAGCGCTCTGTTGAATAAATGGGTTAATTTTTCTGATAAGAGTTTCCCACCATCCTTGAGCAATTCGCTGGGTATTTTATCTGTTCCAGGGGATTTTCTACAGAAATACAAGTTCCTGTCGCAGTTTTAGTATACGAGTGAGTACTTTTGCTCTTGATCACTTCACCTCAGTGTGCAACTATTACTATTACAATTTTTCCTAATGTTTTATTTGCTGATGAAGAAAACTAACATTCACATTTTGTATTTTTTTCAAAAGATGTAACGCTTTTAACATAGCCAACCATGGAAAGGGTGCCATCTGTAGAGATAGATAGATGTTAAAAACGGTTTCACCTGACTGATTTACTATTTGATCTTCTACTATTTAATGATTAATAAAGCGGACAAATGCTTTTTGCCAATATATGTTGACTCATCAACTAGGAATACAAAATTTGAATTCTGAAGTTTATTACTGCATGCATTTTCCTCGATATCGAAAGATATTTCTGTAATACGCCTGCGAGCTGTGTCGTTGGATAGTGCAATCTTGCTTATTGTCATTGTTGCTTCATTTCTTACCATTGTCGTGACTATTTGTATGCATGCAGGTAAAGTAAGTGAAATCCCCTAAGGCAGCGGTTCCCAACCTTTTTAACATGCGGAGCCCTTTTTAGAATCAATTTCTGTGGCGGAGCCCCTTATAACTACCTTATGTCTTATAAATAAATATGTCTTATAAATAAATATGTCTTATAACAAATAAAAATATCTTGGAACGGCTGCGGAGCCTCAAGGGTTCCGCGGAGCACAGGTTGGGAACCGCTGCCCTAAGGAATACTTTTAAAAGAGTTCGCCGCTTTTGTTTGCTGTTTAAACAGCCTATTGAAATAACTAATAGATTTATCTTGTAAATTAGAGTGGACATTGTTAAAATGTTTACTCAATTTACAAGGGAGCAAACATTTATTTGCCATTATATTTGGCTATATTTACATCAAAATAAGAACTATGCACCTAACATCAACTTCTAATTCACTTAATGCAACTAAAGCACAACAAGAATACCAGAACCGTTACCAACAACTTGTAGATTGACACATCCGCATGGTTTCTCTACCGTTTCAGCATGCTTGTCCATAGTGGAACGCCAGTATGGCGTTGATAGTAATATGAAATTAGATTAACTTAACTGAAAGCTAATATTCCAAAATGTGAAAAATTTCTATTAATATTCTCCAAACCTCAATTATCTTTAGAAACGTTCATAGAATTAAGCAACAGAGATATTTTTATGTACTTTGTTAGGAGAGATAAGCTTGGACACATGAATTCATGTTTGTCGATATTTTTTAGATACACCTGACCTGTATACAGAAAAATATTTTTTTTATATCTTTATGTCTCAAGTAGTTTATTTTAATCAATTACTCATCTTTAATCATTGTTATTTTAAGTGGGTGCTTAATTAGAATGGGTTTTAAGAAGCTTACAAATACAAAATTACTTTAACCAGCATATTTTTTTAGCTTTGTAACTATTAAAATTAATTTCAGAACCGTGGTTATTAACTATAATTAAACAGACTTCGATTGGGTTAAAAGCATTTTGCGATGTAGGCGCTGGTGAGAGTACGAGGGCGACTCGTATGAAATATTGACCCGGTTTTCCAGTCATCTGCTCGTTTGGTCACGATCGACCACTATGGAATGTGTCGGTTTGCGCACCGGTTCCGGGGGTTAACCTGTTCGTGCAAGCACGGGATTAAAGCACCTTTACATTCAACGCCTCTCACAGGTGGGTCGTTGATATGGTAAAGCAAAAAACTGCAATCGATTATCTATAAAATACTATTTTTTTTTGTAAAATTACCCCTTAATCATTTTATGTAAAAAAAAATATATACAGGATGGTCCATTTAACGTGAGACAAGCGATTATCTCGAAAACGATTCATTTTACATAAAAATGAACCAAATGAAAGTTGTTCTGTGCGAAGATTTTACAATAAAATATATAGGGTGCCATTTAAAAAATTCGTCGTGACCTTCGTATGACCTTGAAAATAAGGTCAAGGTCAAACATGTTATCGTCATAAGGTTTCCTCCTTCGCACAGAACAACTTTCATTTGGTTAATTTTTATGTAAAATGAACCGCTTTCGAAATAATCGCTTGTCTCACGTTAAATAGACCACCTGTACGTACGATATTATAAACATTATAGAATATATATTATGTATAGTTTATTTATCTAGGTGATCAAGTTATTTTTTTAAAGAATAGGTGTTAATCAGACTACATTATTTATACATAGCAATTTCACTTGCAAAGGCCATAAATAGCAATTTGGAACCAGGCTCTGCGCTCTATCAATTGTGTCTCTAATTGATGTGACAACAATGCTCGTTTCGCATAATTCTGCATGCGGTAATATGTACGAATTATCGTAAATCATTTATTATAAACATTGTTGTGACGAAAGAAAAAATAAATTCGGAAATTGTCTCGCGCTGTACATTCTAAAATTAAATATAAACTATGGGAAGAATAGGTGGGCAATTTCTGGTGAACTCTCTATGAGGAAATCAACGAAAAAGAGGAAGTAATCTGTGCAGCTTTACTCGCTCGAAAAGGTTTAAAACCTAGGATCAAAAACCCGCTTCAAACAAATAACTTAGAAATAAGTAGTTGCTTCAAAGGTACGAAAGGCAAAATGTTACATTGGCAGCTCAACTGCTATCATATACCACTGCGGTGGCATTAAGAAGGTATTGTTCAAACACAAATGAAGCAGATTTTGTTGAAATAGTAAATGGTTGGTTTGTTGGTGCCAACTAAATCTGCATATGGGCTTACATTAGCAGAACAAAATAAAATATTGAACAAAATGTATTACACAATAAAAAATATCAAGTGTATTGGAAAGAACGCAATGCAAACGTTTCAGAACACTCCCTTCTGAAACGTTTTAATGTCAATAGTGTCTATAAAGTTGATGCCATGACATTAAATATATTTTAACCAATTGATTGAACCAAGATGCTTTAGAAAATTTATTTAGCCAAATTAGAACGAGAGGAGGGCTTAATGATCATCCAACGCCTTTATAGGCCTAGGACGATTATTTTGAGTAAATCGTCGCAGTTCAAACGCGGTACAAGTACTACAGATACAGCAGATGATGAGTA